CAGGCTTTCAAATATGTTAAAAACAATATCAATTTATTATTGCAAATAGTTAAAATGCATTAATAATATTAAAAACAATGTTTGCATACATGATTCCCCTCAATTATGCCTCCAGCTGCCACATTTGCACTATAAAGTTAGTGTTCATATTTTTAAACGTAAATACTTATTTTTGTATTTTGCAGTCCATTCTTATGGATATACTATTCATAGGTCGTTTCTCCACTGTGGCATGCATTGATTTGCTGCCAACGCATTTCACTGGTATGCTACCTCAGGGGATGGGAGACAATTTATCTATTGCAAACATATAATCAGTTTCTCGTATAATGATTCATCAATTGCATTAAATAACCATCAACATTTTTATATACATTAATCTTACCTACTGAGGTATCTTAGGGTGAATATGGATCTCTCTAAGCAAGGAGAGATCAACCAGTATTCCCTCTCCCATATGCTGCAGTGGTACCACAAGGATAAACAGGATAGAGACCTACTTTTACACTCTTATCTGTGTCAAGTATTATTCAATGTATCCATCACGTACTGTAGTAACCACTACCATTAAAGATTTGTTAGTCCATGTATATCCATATTCCTAGTCTGTCAAAAAACAAATATTCAATCTGTTTACCACATATTATAGCCACTGTATTTGCTGGTCCTATCAAACTCCCAACCCTACCCCAATCTCCCCATACCCCTTCAACATATACCTCCTTTCTCTCTACTTCCTCCCCCCCTAAACCCTCCCTCTCTATGTTAACTTCTTTTAGTGGCAACTCATTCCATAAGTCCAATGTTGCCCACCATTATATGTGAAATCTGGATCCCCACTCTCCCTTGACTATCATTACATCAATGGTCCATTCCTCCCAACTATACCCCTGATTCCCATCTGTCAGGAACCTCCACAAACCTCATGCTCACCCCTGTGCATTAACCCATCTCCCGCCTCCTCACATCACCACGTTATCTCTCTCCAGTGCTATATCCAAGCTTAACCCATCTCAGTGTGACATATCTTTACCACATGACATCTCTTATCAGCTTCCGTGTGCCAACCACTTTCCTCTATACCGCTGTAGACCATTTTAAATGAGCTTTGGCCCAGAGAAGACAGCAGCGTTCTTGGATCATGTTTAGCTATGGCTTCTTCTTTGCGTGATAGAGCTTTCATTTGCATTTGTGGATGGCACAGTGAACTGTGTTCACAGACAGTGGTTTTTGGAAGTGCAGTGATGTCCATCACAAAATCATGCCGGTTTTAAATGCAGTGCTGTCTGGGGGCCCGAAGATCACGGACATCCTAAATGTTGGCCTTGTCACTTCCGCACAGATTTCTCTTAATCTTTTGATGATATTATATACTGTAGATGAGGATATATTTAAAGTCTTTGTAATTTTACATTGAGTAACACTATTCTGAAATTGTTCAACAATTTTTAGACCTAGCTTTTCACAGATTGATGAACCTCTGCTCATCTTTACTTCTGAGACACTGGGGGTGATTTACTAACCTAAACACACGCATGCACCAGGTGCGTGTGATTTTTACATAGCAAAGCGTATTTATCAACCAAAAAGTCTCTATAAGCATATTTCCACTAATGCCATATATGGAAAAATCATGCACATGATGCATATATAATGCTGCTTCACAGTTTAGACAAAAATGGTTACCTCATGCATTTACATTCCTGCATTCATCAATGCAAGCAACACAATGTAGAGCTAATTTACACAACATCACCTTGCAATTCAGGGCAGGGCTTTGCACAACACACCTGCTGGGTGTGTACACTCTACAAAGGTGTTTAGATTCCACCAATAGATCATGCTGGGAGGGAACACACTACAGAGGTGTATACATGTTTGTGGTGTGTTTATAAGGTTAGTAAATCAACCCCACTGACTCTCTAAGATGCTCTTTTTATAACCAATCATGTCACTGACCTGTTGCCAATTAACCTAATTATTTGCAAAATATTCTTTCAGCTCTTCCTTGTTAGTACTATTTACTTTTCCAGCTTTTTGTTGCCCTGCCCCAAATTATTTGAGATGTGTTGCTACCATCAATTTCAAAATTACCTTATTTTTCTTAGAATGGTACATTTTCTCAGTTTAAACATTGAAACCCCATTGTGAAATAAATATGGGCTCATGAGATTTGAAAATCATTGCATTTTGTTTTGTGAGCGTGGGAGGATTCATCCTCCAATCCATCCAGGGAAGGATCGGGTGAAGGGCTGCGGCGGCTCTGCCTGTCAGCAGGGAGCGCCATCTTGGCCATGCCGTCAGTGTGAGCCGTGTCCTGTGAGCGGGGCAGCGATCGGGATCGTGGGGTTTTCGGGGCCAGGAAACGTTCCATACCTCTTCTCCCCTGATCCGTGGGCGGCAATATGCCACTCGGAAGGCTGTCGGGGCCGTTTTTATATGTTTATCGGCAGCATCGAGGGGGAGCGCCGTCACCCCGCTGCTTCTCTCATGGGCGCCGGAACCGGAAGTCCTGCATTTTGTTTTTATGTAGATTTTATACAATGTTCCAACTTTTTTGGAATTGGGGTTGTATTTTAGCTTCTACCATTTGACTCCTAAAGCTATCCTGTTTGTTCAAGAACTGGCAAACCTTAGCTTAGTGTGCAGTACCATTTGACCAATCATTGTTTGGATAATTGAATGTACCTATAATATTAACATATCCTTGTTTCCCAGCTAATTATTTTGTGAAATGAGAGTCCTCTCCCCTTGGTTCTTAACATGTTTGGCTTAAGTTCTCTTCTTGGTCACAGGAGTATCCACATACCGCACTGCAGTTGGGATAGATCCCAACAATATTGTTGAGATCCACCCAGCTGCCTGATTGACAGCTGACTTTGTCCTTTTAGAACCAAAGCCAGTTGTGCCCACTCCCTCCCTGGTCTGTCCCTCCAATGAGCTCTGGAGGGACAGAGAAAGAGGAGGGGGAAGCCCTGCAGCCAACCATGACTGACAGTCACTGCTCTCTGAGGGAGAAGCTGACAGCTGAGCAATCAGTGGTTTGTGATTGCTCAGTTCTTGAGCTATTGAGCCAGTGTATGACACCTGCAGAGTCACACACCAGCTCAAACTATTGGGAAGAGTATATTTGACTCTCCAAATAGTCCTCCTTTAATGTTATGTGGCCTGTAACATTCTCATAATTAATTTACTATTAGCAGCACTATTATATGCAGCTTCAGTCATAAAGACTCTGCTCCATCACAACATTTATTTGCGATATCCTCTATTACACTCCCTTTCAGAGTGCTCTTGACTTAGTCATACCCCCTAACTCTTCTACCAATGCTGTACCTCCTGAAAAGAGAGTCACCTTGAATATTTGCAGTCCAGTCCTGTAAGCTGTCAGTCCAGGTTTCTGATATTCCCACAAAGTCAAAATCTTATTCCAACAACATTTTTATGCAAGATTTCCAGCATTTGTGTACATGCATTGGAATTTTGTTTCAGTACCTGGTTTATTTTTTCTTGTTTTGATATTACAATATGCAATTGTTAGACTTCCTACATTGATTTTAGGTTAGCCACATTGGTTCCTGCTCACTATATGTTAAATTGTCTTCATATCTCTCCAAAATCTAGTTTAAAAGCTCCTCAAACCTTCTAGCTATTTTCTCCCCAAACAAAAGCTGCCCCCTTCCAATTCAGGTACAGTCTTTGCCTTGCCAAAATGGCTGGCAGTCGACCAGAAAGCCAGCCAAATTCTCAATGAACCAAAACCCTGCCTTCTTATACGACTTTCTTAGCCACTTGTTTACCTCCTTGAGCTTCTTGATTATTCTGGTGTTGCTCATAGCACAGGAAGTATCAGAAAATGCTACCTTGGAGTTTGGTAGCTAAGCATTTGAAATCGTTTAGGATGAAGCATCTTCCTGTTATTTTGCCATATGTACCATGGCAGTTGGGTCCTCCCCAGCACATGCCAACAATCTGTCCAGTAAGCAGTATTCCTAATGCCCAACAGTAATCAGCAATCATGGTGCCTCTGGCAGTTATTTTTAACCACATCCCATCCATTGGCCATTCCTGAATGGCCAGACTGGAGCCTTATAGGAGCGGAAAGGCATCTTTAGACGTCCTTCTCCTCCCCCCGCTTGTGTGCGGCACCCAGCACGCACACAAATGGGGAAACTGTCAGAAATGTAAACAGCCAGCTCTCGAGAGATGCCCGATCACTTGTATTAAATGTGGGTGTGCGCCCCCGACGTCTCCATCGCCACCTCTGCCGGTCCTGAGATCCGCTGTGCCTGGTGCGGCTG